CATTGCTGGTATTTTTATTGCTGGAGTTGCAGCCTGCTCCTTGATTGAGAACAAAATTGATTTCCCTTTCTCTTTCAGCATTTCACATATGCCTGTATGTGAGTAGGGATATGCATGTGTAGAGGTACCTGTCTGTATGTATATAAATGTATGGATGCGCACCTGCACCTGTAGAGCACTAAGAAAGCAGGAGTCTGAAAGAGGAGTCTGAAACACCACTGAGTGTTCTGGAAGGACAAATTGAATGTGTATGCAAACACCTGACCTTGTTTTGGGGAGGGAGGGCTGCTCTATTCCATCTGGTGCATCACTTCAGATGCTTTTCCTCTGCTCAAGCTCAGTCTGTTGCTTGCAAGGAAATTCTTCAGAGGGAGGGTTTTGACCAAAGCAACACCGAGTTATCAGCCAAGAGAAGGTGGCTTTCTTCCCAGCCACACGGCACTCTGGCTGTGTGCATTCATAAACTGGATGTAGCAAATTACAGATCCTCTCCTACCTCCCACCTCACAACATCTCACTCACGGAGCCTTTTCCTCCCCTTTGCTTCCTCCTGCAGATCCTGAAGTGTAAATCACCTGGTTGTAAGTACACTTGGGCATGTCCAAAGAGGGAAATGTGGTGGCACGAAGGAGCACCACCCACCTTCTGACAGTTGTGTGGAGCAGGCTCCCCAGAGCTGCCTCATGACTAGTAAACAGCAGACATATGTTGTGCTCACCACACAGCCTTAAGCTTGTAACAGTGCTGGCAGCTCCTGCTCTCCTTCCTTTGGCACCGCTGTGATCCTGATGTCTGCAGCACTGAGTCATGCCACCATGTCTGGAGCAAAGCCCAATGTTCTTTTGTGCACAAGGGGAGCAGGACCGTGTGCTCTGGTGACCTGACTGCCTGACCATGCTTTGTTGAGGGTGTCACTACAGCAGCATCTGTGAGCAAAGGCATGAAGCCAGCAGAGAGTATCATTTGCACTGGCTGATATTGAGAGATGCTGGTGCAGGCTGCTGAAATGGGCTGGGTTGGTTTAATCGAGAAAACTCACACTGTTCTTGTCACCCATCTCCACCTCTGCCTCCTATGTTGGATTTGAAGATCTCTAAGCCAAGGATAGATATTTAGATTGCATCTTGCCCTGAAGAAATCTCCCAGGTGCAGCCGTTCTGCAGATTCTCATCCTGTGGTCTTGCCTTACTCAGACAAGTGAAAGGATCTCTGAGATTGGAGCCACTTCCTCCACAGATGTGGCTTATTGTGCCCTCTGACTGAGGTTCCAGCAGCCTGAGTGCATGTTCTTTGATATCTAAAACACAGGGCACTCTCTCTTTGTGCCCTTTCTCATATTCTCCTTACAGTAAAGTTCATAGGCACTTAATTGCATTACATTTTTGGCTGCCTTTGAATTTCCTTTGCAAGTCAGCAGGTGGCATTTCCCAAATTGTGAGAGATGCGTGGCAGCCAGCCCAGAGAAGGTGGCTGTCACTTCCTCTGCTGTTTTACCCTTGTTGTACAGTGATGTTCCCAAGCTATGCCCTCTTGTTTCCTCAGCAGGGAGCTCTTGCAAGCTGGCTCTGTGGTGGGAATTGCCTGGATGATGGGAGAAATTAATTTCAGACTGAGCTATAAAAATCCTCAAGGCTAGGAGATTCCCAAATGAAGGCTAAAAAAATCGATGGAGGTACCAGGGAGTTATGAAATCCTGTCAGGTGACAGATGCAATATTAGTCTCTGACCCAGCAAATTATTTGCTGAGTGTCTCTGTTCCCTTAAACTGTGAGTCTTTCAGAAAGAAGGATTTTTTTCTTCCCTCTCAGTGGATCTTCAGCCCTCCTCATGTATTTTTTGAGGCTAATCCACAATGACATCCTACATTATACAGTTATGTTGGAGCTTTTTGACCCTGGACTTAACAGTTTGGAATTTTTCCTTGCAGCTGATCTTAGGTATCACAACAGCTTGTCATCTGGTTAAAGACACCAGTGCCATTTCTTTAACACCTCCTCACTGAGCCAAAATGACAAAAGCTCTCACTTCAGAAAGGCTTCTCTCCTCTCTCTCTGGGGAGGAAGAGATCTACTGTAAACTAAAGATGTCCCTGTATCCAAACATAGGAACTCACTGCATATGGACCATTCCTGCTCTCCCCAAGGATGAGGAGAGATTGACCACATGGGGTGAACTGGTGCTGTCTCAGAGAGAGCAGGTGTTGGTGGCAGTTTCTTGTCTCCATGCCATAGACTTAGAGGATTTTAGACGTTTCGATGATTGTATCTGCTCTGCCAACCAGAGATGTTGCAGCAGGCCATGACAACATCACTTTTCTTAGGAAGACGCAGGTGCCTGTTCAGCTCCTCAGTGACCCACAGCTCAGACAATCAGCAAACTGGATCCCTACTAAGGCACAAAAACCATCACTGGGAGCTTTATCCCCACTCCCATCTGCAGTGAGGCCCAGGTCCACCTCCCCAGCATGCAAACCCCCTTCAGCTTCCTTGCTCATCACCCTGGACTGCCATTCCAAGTGCCAGCTCCATGTCACAGCGCGGGTTGCTTTGGGATGTGAAGCACAAGAACATCAGCTTCCAGCCAGGTGATGTTTCCAGGAGTGCTCCTGCTATGCAGGTCTTTCACACAGTGCTGATGTTCCTGTTTGCTGCTCACTGAGGGGTCCTGGGGACATGGAAAGCTGAATTCCCTGTGTTTGGAATGCTATTTTTAAAGCTACGTGCAAGGGCCTCTATGGCCCTTGCATGTAGCTTTAAAAAGTATTTTTATGGCTGCCTTTGTGGGAGAGTTTTTCCTAGCTCTGGAGCTGGCTTTTGCCTCTCAGGTTAATATTCAGCCAGAACAATCACCAAAGATCATAAGGCAGAGTCCTCAACCATAAGATTGGTCTTAAAATTACACTACTATTATTGTTGTTAGGCTTGCTTAATGACCTTACAGTACCTGTATTTGCTTTCTGATTTTTTGGAACTCCAGGTATACTTCAAATCAAGGCTGGGAAATACTAGTTCCTTTCCCTTTAAGTGAATAATCACTGGTTTTTTTATTCAACACCATGAACTCTAAACCTCAGGCTTTATGAGAAAAACTGACTGATTTCCCACAAATCATGCATAATACATATGCAGAAGGGACTAGGAGTACATTGCCAGTCTCCAGGCTTTGTTTATAGCCCAACAACTTGCCATCTAATGTGGATGGAATCCCTGTCTATGGCAGGGGGGTTAGATCTAAATTATTTTTAAGCTCCCATCCCACAAAAATCATTCTATGGTTCTGTGAATTCAATGCCAAAAAACCTGTCAGTGACTACAACAGGCTTTTGGGTCCAGGGACAGGATGAGATGGTGCATGCAAGCACCTCTTGAGGTAGCTGCACTGGGTGTCCTGGGCCAAGTTTCATTCAGTCTAAAGCTTCACATCCACCCCAAAAAAGCGTCACACAAAGCACCAGTAGCTGTATACCATGTGTTTTAATAAACCGTGTAGCTACCAGAAAAATAGGATTGCATGTGTTTGTTCTCCCCCTCCCAGAACAAAAGAAGTCAAATTCAAACCAAAATAATGGAAACCTAAAACAAGAGAAAAAATCTGTCCCAGAGCAAAGATGACACACAATACAGAGCTGGAGGAAAACACCTTTGATGATATTCTTGTTCAAAGAAACCATGTTTGTAAAACACGAGGCAGTTGAGTAATAAAATGGTCACTGATTTGATTGGTTTTCCCCTCTCTGTGTATATATATATGTAGCTACATATATATGTCTATGCTGTTACACCCTGGGGTGGGACGAAATGGTTAGGCAAAAAAATAGTTGAGTGCAGGGAAATCTGTAAGACAAAAAAACAGTTGAGTGTGGGGAGCAAGTAAAGAAAAAATAAATGTATCATTTCAGTCAGTGAAGGAAAGACAAGGTTCAATTCCCCTACAATTTACCACTGCTCTGCTTATTGGGGAACAGACTTGTCTCTCCATGGCTATGCCGTGTCCCTGATGCACAGCAGAGCTGTGAGCTTCTGATCTGAGTGGTATTCACTGGTCTGTGTATGAGCAGGACCCCAGAAATGTATGAAGCATTCCTTTCTCTGGTTAATTCCCATGCTTTACCGTGATTTTTTTTTTTTTTAATTAAAAACTTATTAGTATTTCAGTTTGCATTTTTCCCCAGGTTTCTTGCACTGACTGCTGTGCAGGTCTCCACGGCAAGGTGGAGCAGCCCAGATGAGCAATAATGCCACAGTAAAGTGCTGTTATCACAATGTGACTGGATGGAGGAATTAATTTTACAACGGGTCTCACATTACTTCAAAATTGCACTCTGTCTGCAGAGCCGAGCCATGCAGTTGTAACCTCAGCTGCTCTTCACTGAGTGGGCCTGTGGGGCACACCTTAATCCAAAAACAAGCAAAGGAAGTAAAAATGTTTTTAATTTCCTTTTCTCCTTCCATGGAAACCTACTCCCAACAAGAAGAGTAGGCAATACCACTCTACACTGAGGTGTCTGATTCACTCTTAGGCAAACGAGTCCTGCATTCAAAAGACAAAACAAGCCATGTTCTTCCTCTTGTTTTTATATTGCTCTTTCAGAGAACCAGTCGCTGTCCGTGCTTTCCCAGATCCCAGTGCCGTGCTTAACAAGCAAATTAAGCACAAGCTCATGCTGGCTGCAAAGTTCAGGTGACCAAGAAGGTAATAAGAGAACAGCTCAGTTTGCCAGATGCTTGTAAACACCATATTGAAAAGAAGGCAAAGGCAAAACACCCTTCTCCACACTTCCCCCATCTTCCTTCCTTTTATTTTTTCTTCTTTTCATTCTTTGTCTCTCTTTTGCTCTTTCTTTCCCTTTTTTGTACAGGGGTTGATGAAGATAAGCAAGACTTGTGCATCACAAATGGTGGAACTTCCCCCAGCCCCTCCAGCCTCCCACCCTACAACAATGCACAAGCCCATCTCATCCTGTACCTGCCCCCAGAAAGTGTTTGTCTGTTTTTGGAAAACCACGCAGTCTGATGTGCTGGGGACTCCTGCAGTGCAGGAGCCGGGTTGGCTGGTTCTTCCCCCTTTCCTGAGGCTCATAGATGGTTGTTTTTTGACAGGTAGGCAATAAGAGCCACAGCTACCCCGACGTAGATGCCAGTTCCGATTGTGATGGACAGGACAGCCAGGAAGAGAGCTCGCCGGGAACTGGAGCTTGCGTGGTGGAAATCCCCCTTGGCTACTGCTTTGTTTGTCTGCAAGAGATACAACAACAACAATGCCACAGGTTTATTTGTTTTACCTGGTGAAATAAAGGTATGACTCTAATTTCTTGGCTGAAACAGGATCCTGGGATGTGACAGGTTAAACTGGAGGGCAATCAGACATTTTTTAGTCAAATGAGGTCGCTTGCACAGTTGAGAGGCGATGGAACCAGCAGCATCTCAAAGGAGGGTGTCATTTGTGGTGTGGTATCAAGCAGGGACACCTGGCAGGCAGTAAGAGATCTGTCAGCTACAAGACAGGTCTTGTATAAGCAAATGAGCTCCTTAAGTTCTGAGACAGCCTTTGTTCCCTCATTACAATGAGTGAGGGTACCTCAATGCTTTAATTGTATGTCTCCACAAATGATCGATGTGCTGGGACACTTTCTTGTTCAGAGCCATCTCCTGTTCTATTTTTGTCTTTGCTACTTTTTTTTTTTTTTAGTTTTGTTTGTTTGCTTGGTTTTTTTCTTTTTTTTTTTTTTTTATTTTATGTTTTTGCTATTCAAACCAATTTGTAGCAACCAAATGACAAGCTTCCACACATTCTAAAAACCCCAAAAACTGTTTGGCCCTTCTGTCAATGACTTTATTAGGAGAACTGTCTCTTCTCATTCATCAACCTAATTTTTTAAGCATAATGCTTTATGAATATTTCAGGCAGAAACAATATCAAACAATACAGGCGAGGCTGCAGGCTGGAGGGAGCTGTTTCAAAGCAGCAAGACAGAAATAACACAGGTTTACACACCTGCTGTCATGTCCTTTGGTTTAGGTGGGGAAGGCATCCTACTCACTCTGCAAAGCCTCTCTGCAGGGTAACCAAAGATTTCATGATCTTCTTGTCTGGAATCACCGAAGACTCAAAAGAAGATTTCTTTTTTAAAAAATGCCAGGGCCTTTTGGAATCATGTTAGGGGCTCTTGAAAGTGTTGGCAAGGAAAGCAGAGAAAGCTTTAGAAAGAGCTGGTCCTTCAGCTCCTCTCAGAGACTTTCCTCATGCACCTGCTGCCCACCACAGAACCTGTCTGGGTCTGGAAGGTTCTTGTTTACTGAAGTTGGACTGAGGTAAGTGCCCAGCAATGAACATTACAGAACTTTTGGATAAACCGAGGTTCGACCCCCCAAAATGAAGGGAAAGTTTAAAAATTATAGAACATTTTCAAATTGGCATTTCTGAAATGTCACTTTATGTAACAGAAAAATCTGCAACATTTGGGTTGACCTCTTTTAAATGAAACTTTGTAAAGTTTTAAACCAGCATTTCTTCACCTAAAAATAGATGGGAAGTCAAAGGGAAAAGAAACCATTAGTCAAAATGTCAAATAGTCTGAAAACTTGACAGTATATCTTGATTGCTTCAATAGAAGAGGTTGGATTTACCAAAAATAATGAGTTGGGAGACCCAAAAGGATTCAGAAGGCTGATTTTTCAAACACTAGTAGCCTTTTTCCTGATAGGATCTTCAGTGTAGCAACAACCCTGCTGAAAAAGAAAAGGGTTTTTTTCCTTGATGAACTCTTTGAGGACAGCCCTGACCTTTGTGAAAGGATTGGGTCTATGGTGAAAACCCAGTTTCCTGTTAAAATGCTCACCCAGACATAACCAGGTATCTTGTATTAGTCATGTGCTGCCATGAAATTTTTGAATTATGCAGCCCCAGACATTATGATAAAAAGTTAATTTGCTTGGGGAACACACCCGTGCCTTCACAGAAATTCTATTTTCCAACAAATTACATAATCTGAGTGCATTTTTTTTCCTCTTAACTGAATGCATATTTTGTAATTTAGGAGAATTAAATCCCTCCTATATGGAATTTTAACTGCAGACTGCATTGGTAAGGGCATATGGGAAGGACAATCTTATAGTTTTCCTTCATTCTGGTAAAAAAGATTTACATTGAGATGGAGAAACCAACCACACAGAATCAAGCTTTTGTCTGTGAAAGAGTAATCTGAAGGAATTTGCTTAGTAATAAGAAAATTCTTTGATGCTATTTCCTAATTAGCAAAACCCTCACATTACTACTCAACATCATTATATGAAAATGAAAACATTTCTGCAGGTTTAAGCTAAAAGGATCTGAAAATACTTACCAAACAAAATGTAACTAAGGCCAAAAGCAATAGTTTACTGTCTAGCAAATAGTGAACAGTTTTTCTTGATTTTTTTTTTTTTTTTAAGGGATCAGCTCTTTGGTGGTTTTAATCACTTTGAGAAGGTCCCTTGGTTTTGGGATGAATCTAACTGTCCCATTTCGTACCTGACACAAAGAAATTACATCCTGCTGAGTTTTCCACGAGAGATATCTGTGCTTTGGCAAAATCCATGAGGTCAAGAAATGTCTTGTGTAGATCAGACAGCCAAATCACACCCAGCTTTTCCATAGCTTTTTCAGCTACCTCTGTTTCAGAGAACAGTGTAGCCAAGACTGGTGCAAAAATGAAGACCCAAATGCTCTACCAACATGAGTTTAATTCACTACAGGCTCATCAAGCTACACCAGGTGTCTCAACCTTTTCTAATGCGCTTGAAAGTTGCTGCTAAAGTTAGTGTTCTTTCTGAACAAAACTGACTTATCTGTGGAGCTTTATAGTACTTCTGTCCACTTACTTCTTCCCTTCCCTGGCAAGGCTGTGGCTGGCAGCCAGATGATGGATATAACAATTTAATGCAGCTTTTGGGTAGGAGCAGGGGCACAGACTGTGATGAAGGTTGGGTGTTACAAGGCTGAAAATGGGGATTTTTGCAAATACCAGCCACCAATCAATCTTCTCTTTAGAGGCTTTGAAAGTAAGCCAGAAAAGTGAGGAGGGGTGGGGGAAGAAGGGGTGAGGAGATCTGGAAGGATTATCTTCCTTTTTTTTAAACTAAAATAATGAATGTCTTTTTAAGAAACACTTTCAAGGAACTTCCCTGGAGGTTCAAGTTGAGCTTCTGCAGACCAGATTCAGGGTGTCTCTGGGCTGCAGGTTTTACAGGCTGAGACAAGATGAATAATGTACAGCCAAGCAGCAAGGCTAAAACATTCTGCTGCATCCCACAGTGACTCATATATCATACTCTCAAAATCCCTTCTGGTACTCAGTATCTGCAAACAAGAAACACACTGATCACAATTATTAACCCTGCCTCATCTCCCCGAGGCTGGAGAGCAGGATTGGCTCCATGCAGGAGGAGAAGAGATCATCCTGACCTCTTTGGTCAGATGGTGAAAGGATTTCTTTTCACTTTATGGGAACAAAGAGCCAGAAAGGCCAGGGATGCACAGGCTCCACGCAGCCACTACCCAGATTCTGAGTTCCACTTCTTCAAGTGACATGCAAAAACAAAAGGCACAGAATGAGAAGTAGCTCGTACAGATGATGCTTCTGCTCCTGTATCTTCTATCTTTCTTCTAGTTAAACACTCTTTTTAACTTGCCTAAACTTGTACTTTTGCTGATCTCCAGTTGTTGGGCAGTAATTCCACCTTACACCACTTATTTCCACTGATGGTGAGAAAAAGACTCCAGTGTCTTTGCTAAAGACATGGATGGGGAAAGGGTGAAGTCAGGATCTGGCTCTGGACCTTGACAATGCCAGCAGGGAGGTGCCAGTCAGCTGGGGAAAGCATGGGGCTGACACTCAGCACAGGCATTGGGATGTGGCAGGATGGTTTTCAGTCCTGAGGAGAGCATCAAAGAGTCTCTGCAGTCCAGCCAAACAGCTCCACAGACAGAAATTATGAACTAAATAAAGGACAACTTGTTCTTTGCTCTGCCAGGTATTTGAAAATTCCATTATGCCCACTGTATAATGGAAAGTTCAGCCTGTGGTGGCAAAGAGCTCTTCCAGAAGTTTCTGTAATTTCAGCTGCAAGGATGGCCAGGGAATGGACGCAAGTCTCAAACAGACCTTCTCCATCTGGAACTTACTGAGGAAACAATGGGGAGCAGGTGTCACCTGAAATGCAAGTACTTCCAAACAGCTCCAAACAGTTTAAGCCCCTCTGTAGCTTAATCTGACCTTTCTTCATTCAACCTTTCAAGTGGCATTTCCTGCATTGTGAGCACCTCCTTCTTTTCCCTGCAATACCATGTTGACTTCCAGCCTTTACAATTTCCTGCCAAGCTCCTGAACAGTGATGTGGCAGGTGAAAAGCACTGGCCTGAGAAATGGTACTTCTACTGCCACCAAATTAAATGATGCTGAGTTGGTAGAAGGAGATACACTGGGAGCAATATTTCTCTCTGGAAATCCATGAAAGGTTCAAGAGAATATAGTGTGAATGGGGGGGATGAGGGTGTAAATGAAGACCAGCATGAGTCTGTCTCTTTTTCATGTTCAACTTTCATAAAATCTGTGTTTCAGCCATTGGACCATTTTGGTATCAAAGAATTCTGCTGGAATTTCAAGATATGGCATAGGCAAAGACATGATTCAGCCCCTGGCTGGTGTTGCCTGTGGCATTTGATTGTGTCTCTGAGTAGAGATAAAACTACAAATGTTGGGAACAGCAGGCATAAAAGACCTGAATGAGCAGAATGCAGAGAGATGTTTTTAGACAAGCTCCACAGCAACAGCTGTTCATTTGATTGCACTGGAGAGAATGAGACCTCAGCCTGAGATACAAAGGCAGTTCTCTTTTTCCTGGCATATACAGGAATTTAGATGTTTATGGTAAAGAAGATGATTTTGCCTTTCCACCTTGCTTCTAGCCCTCAAGCAGATGTTTTGTGATGAAAGAGAAGAAAATTTGCAAAAGATGACAGGTGGGAAGCCCAGTTTACACATAAAAATTCAGAGACTTACAAGTCCTTGCTGTTGTACAAAGTTTTGCAAGGTGTTATTCACAAACTGCTTATACCCAATTATGCCTGGAGAAAGCCTCCTCTCCATTTCACAAGGAAATGCAGGGCTTTTAGAACCCTGTGAGGACTTTGTTAGGGCCCTGCTGAGGGCCCTGCTAGAGGGAGGTTCTGGGGAAAGCTGCATTCATCTCTTTGT